TTACAACAAGCACATTATTTTATAAAAGGAGTCTAAAAGAGCTCCTGGAAAGAGGAAAGATCTGTTGCTCAGAGGTTTTTCCACATCATCTTGACCATTCCTCCTCTCCCTTCACCCCCACAAGGAAGGAGGAAGGGGTCATCTCAGAGAGCACCTCTAGCCAATAATTTAGCAGAGCTCCAACGGTCAAAACATAAAAGGCTGAATGAGAAGTTGGTGAGCGACAATAAAACTGGATTAATGAGACCTTAGTATCTTATTTGTGTTACTGATATTACCATCAGTTATATCAGATATAATGCTAACAGCAAAGTAGTAGAAAATACTTTTGAGTGTATCTGAAATCTGTAGCAGGTTCTCAGGAATATCTCTGCAATGACTTGAAGAAGTATTACTGAGAAGAATAAAGCAGAGTATCTTTTATGTATAATTTTACCTAAGAAATAAAAATTCAGTTTTTTTGTTTGTTTGTTTGTTTGTTTTTTGGTATAAGGGCTCAAACTCAGGTCCTTGCGCTTGTGAGACAGGCGGAAAAATTCAATTCTTTAAAAGAGCTAAAGTGTTTTATATCTAAGTAGGAACTTCTCAGTTTCCAGGCAAAACTGAAATAAAGATAAAACGCAAATTTTCAATGTGTTACATTTGTTGTTCTGACACTGTTTTTATGGAAATTGTGGAATAACCAAATAATGAAATTGAGGTTTCTCAGCATTTTATTGAATGCCAAAAACTTTACTTTTTCTTGCAGTGCTAGAGATCCAACCAAGGGTTTTATGCATGCTAGGGAAGTGCTTTATCCCTGAGCTACATCCCTACTCCTAAAAGTGTAATTTTAAAAGATAAACTGAAATGAAAACTTAATTGTCGTCTTAGTAAACATAAAACAACAAACTGTAGGCTCACACACTATTTTTTCAATTTTCGGACTTAGCACTTACCGTGTTAAGTATCCCTGTCCTGTATCTACTTCCCCTCTTGCTGGCATCTAACATTGCAGTGTGGTCCAACATTCTCAGCTTCAATTCACAGTTATCAGAATGAAACCACTGACAGTTGTAACTGGTAAATTCAGGCCATTCCATTGTAGCTACTTTTTTACTGTTATCCATTAAAATAATTGTACAGACACATGACAGATAAGTAACTGTTGCCTCTGAACTGTGTGAAAGCCTTAAATGAAATTAAGACTGGAAAAAGTAAAAGAGATAGGTCTACCTTTATAGGTAAAATACTGATGCATTCTGAAAACAGTTTTTTCATAAAAACTCAATTTGGCTATCACTTCCATTGTCTGAGTTACAAGTTACCCAGAAGCTGCGTTACACATCACTCCCTATTTTCATTTCTTCATCAGCAAAGCAGAGCGAACATACACTGGCTTCCTCTGTATTTGGAAGAGCCAAATGTAATTAGTCTTCATTCAAGAACCATATCGCTACCCAGAACTATTTTTACCTAGACTGGTCCCTTTTCAAAATTCCAGGGGTAAAAACCAAGCCCCTGCCCTCCCCCCACCCCTGCGGTTTAATTGAAGAACTTTCCTCTTACTTCAACATTCTTAGCAGCTGAGCAGAGATCCACTGGCTGGAGCCGAGGAGGAAAAGAGGGGAAGCCATAGCAACAAACCCTCCAGGAGCCAAGGCCAGGGGCTTTAAGTAGCAAACCTTTTCCAGCACTTAGCAAAGCCTAAACTTTGTTGTGTCTCTTTTGAAAAGTATGATGGACAATAGCACCAACTACTTAGATAAATGAAGTCTGTGACGTAACCTAAGTAGGGCTGGAGATATAACTGTAAAACAAGGAACTGTAATCAGAACTCTATGGATAAACTTGGGGGAACGGGTCCGCAGCCGTAACAGTATCATTTGCACCTTTCATGATTATTTTAAGGTCGAGTCCCCCTTTCTCTCCTTCTGTGCTCAAATTGTTAGACGCAGTAATACAGCTTCTTAAAGACACAACTTAAAAGAGCCTATTTCATAGCACCATATAAACTGCTGTGGTAAACTCTATTTGAACTTAAATTTTAAAATCTTCAAAAGTTTGGGTCTATCCTCTGCGGCATCAGCTACCTTACTGGGTGGGCGGAAAGGCAGAGAAGCAGGCTCTTCTTACCTGCTCATTCATTTAGTACCATCTGGGTAGGTAAGGAAAGGGAGACAGGAAGGATGCTCTAAAGTTGAAGGGTAAGAATTTTCCTTGAGAAAAGGAACTACACATTCAAAAAACTCTTGCTAAAGTCCCACAGGACGAAGTATGGAGTTACAAACAGGAAAGGTCCCAGATTGGGATGGGGACATAAGAGGGGTCAAGATCTGGGTGTCAGGGAACGGGGTATGTGGTATAAACCTAGGCAGTCTCGGGACAAGGGAAAGGTAGGCTGCCCTGCGGTGCCCAGCTCCGGGCAGGAAGGAGCCCGAGGCGGCGGCCGCCTCCCTAGGGACTCGGGGGCGGAGGCGGAGGCAGAAGTGCACCCGCTGCCTCTTACCTTCGGGCATCTCCCGGTCGCTGATGTGCTGCAGGTGGT